TTAATTAACGTAAAAAAAAAAAAAAAAATAAGACTACATATAGGTTCTTTCTAAATTTGCAGTTTACTAGGTTGAAAAAAAGCATTTGGGATTTTATGACATAATGGGGCTATCTGTGCCAAACAACCAGTATAAACATAAGAATAAAAAGAAGTAAAACTCTATAAAAAAATAAAATAAAAAGAAACAAGTTAAAACCTAAATGATGTCCAAAAATCAGTCAAAGATCTCAAATAGATGTAAAAAGGCCAATGGCCCATAAAAAGATAAAAACACAATCAAGTTGGACAGTGTCCCCATCGCCAATGACATCGTCCAAGGTGAGGAGTAAACCAGTAGAAAGGACATGTCTAAAATGGTATTGCCACTCACAGTTGTAACAATGGCACAACAGTTAAATGTGGGCTATTGCAACTTGAGTGTTACAAAGGTCACTCATTGGTTGATCAAACCCACATAAAAGAAGACTATGAATTAAAAAACTGACTAATGCATATCCTAGCCAAGACAACTTCCTGGAGTGGAGCTGTGCCATGATCACAGAATCATAGTCCATAAATGGAACAGGCAAGGCTCTGACAGCACCAGAGCAGACTCACTTACTTAGAAAAGTAGGCCATTCATTTCTGAATATCAATGAGAACAGGGTGAGAACTAATATTAAATGATTTCAGAACCAGTAGAGAGCCAAGAGAGTCACTCAGCATAGCTTCTACGTGATCCAGGGCAAGAGAAATGGCATTTAACTTGGCAGTGAAAACAGAAACTGTAGACAGGATCCTGCAAGCAACCACTGAGCCACAACAAACCATGGCAGAGCCCACAGTCACCCAATTTTGAAACAATCCATAAAAAAAAGAAACAGAAGAATGGTTCGTAAGATGATTAGCAAAAAGAAAATGGTACTTCCAATTGGGAGTAACCACCTTCCTCAGATAACTCAAAGAAAGGTCACAGGTGGGGATGGTAATAAGCCATGGTGGGATGGGTTGATCATTGGAGACAGCAACGTCATCCAATGACATACCCAATTCAACCAGCTGCACCTGGATACGAAGGACAGAAGGAGGAATGTAAGACCATCTATTCTGAAAAAGCACACCCCACTGAGAAAGGAAGACAACCCCAGGTGGAATGCTGTGGTAAGGATCAAAGCTTAGTAGCACATTGCAAAGAAAGTTGCAAACAAGAGAAGTGAAGAGGAAGTTCGTGGGACTCAGTGTACAAATTCTAGACTGGCAAAGTGCGGAAAACCTCTGGACAGAGCCACAGCCCCAGATAGTGGACAAGGTCCAGCACCTTCAAATCAGAGGGCCTGGCAGATCCATAAACATGAACCCATAGTCAAGCTTGGAACATATGAGGGCATGATATATCTTCAACATAGAACATTGATCTGCTCCCCAAGAGATAGAAGAGAGGACACAGAGGATGTTCAGTGGCCTTGTACGTTTGACACGTAGCTGCTTGACATGAGAAATGAAAGTATGCTTACAGTAAAACAGGAACCACAGGAAAAACAACACCATCAAGACAGAGCTCAGGATCAAGGTGTAAATCCTGTGGATGGCAAAAATGAATGCAAACAGTTTTAGAGAAAAAAAAGAGTAAAACCATCTGCTGTGGTCTACTTCAATAAACAAGTGAGAGCAGTCTGAAGCTGCTGCTGCTCATTAAACCTAATGTTTGATGACTGACAAGAAATGTGGAAATTGTCAACATAGCTTCCTTCCCAAGCTTAGAAAAAAATAGGACAATAGCCTTGTGCCAAGAATCAGGAATAAATGTTCTCCTGCCAGATCTAATTAAAAACAACCAGAAGAAGAAGAGCAATAGAGACAGTTGAGAGATGGCACAGCATCTAACAGTGAATGTCATCGGCCCCAACATATGTACTGCCAGATTGATGAAGAGTGTGCTTAAGTTCCACCAGCATAAAACGGCAATTATAATCATAGAGACGATCAGCCCGAAAGGAAAGAAGAAATTGCTCTGCCTAAGACTTAATGGCCAAGAAGGCAGTGGAAGAAACAGAAGTGCTGGAGAGATAAGAAAAGCACTCCCCAGCCAACAGAGAGCAAGATGGAAAGCATACTTCCCACTGACCTTCTAAATCTTGTCCCAGATGACTTTGGAACTGATGGTAGAAGAAATGCTGGTTGTGAACTTAATCTAAGATTCCTTCTGGCTTTGGTGTCTGACCTGCTGAGCAGGGGTATGGGCCCACTGGAAAACAATGTGGTTGGAAAGGGTAAGATACCTGCAAAAGGTATCCCACACCTGTTTCTGAGCCTTCTATGCCTGCTGGCAGGCAAGAGACCACCATGGACAAGGATACCGTGGGAAACGTGTTAAGGTTTTGGGGATAGAACGAACAGCTGCTTGAATTATACAATCAGTTACTGCTTCCATGCAGTTGTTAATAGATGGAAGAGTAACAGCAGCAGGACTGAGTTCCAAGAGAGAGGTGGAAGAGAGCCAGTCAGCCTGCTCCAAGTTCCACAGTGGCACTTGGGTCAGGTGGCATTGACCACGGCCAATCTCCCTCAAAATGATGGGAAAATTATCACTGCCCCCTTAGTTCACTGTCAACCCTCCAAGAAAAAAAATGAGAAAAAAGTGAAGGGGAAAAGACAGATAGATCAATAGCAGTAAAAGACTGACTAGGTACATGAAAATAGGTAAAGGCACCAGTATTGAAGAGAGATAGGTTGTGATCGGAAAGCATAAGCTCCACAGAACAATCCCTCCCATCAATATCAGAATCCCCCAAAAGGGATTGTGTCAATTAAAGTCTCCCAAGATGAAAAATGGAGACGGTAAATGTTCTATAAAAGCATCAAAGTCTGATAGGTAGTAAGTGATGGAATGACTCAGGGAAATACAGACAGTGACAGCCTCCAGTGGTGCATCGAGTGGCACAGAAAAGGTGGGTATGTGCTGGTCAACCAGCAGTCCTACTCCTCCATGAATTCATCTATCACACAACCTATTATTCAGTATTAAAAAACCTGCTGAAAGGTGACAGTAGCAGCAGGTTTCAGGAATGTTTCCTGTAAGGAGATACACATGGGATGATAGGAATCGACCAAGGTCTTAATGTCATCCAAATTGGAAAAGTGGCCATTTTAATTTAGGTGGAGAACCTTTCTGCTTGCAACCACACAATTTTTCTTTAGTAGAAGGTCTGTCAACCTTCATGGAACCTGCCCTGGGTCGATTGGGCAGATCTCTGTCAGAGGATGGAGACTCCAGTGACTGAGGGTATGACTGAATAATGGTACTGCACCTTGGGATGAAGGAGATGGATCCAAGCAGTCACAACATGCAACAATGGGGACAGAGACAAGAGTAGACACTGACTTGGTAGTTCGTGCAACTATGGAGGGCAAAAGATACTTCACATGGTGTGAGAAAGACTCTGATGAAGACAGGGAAAGGTCTATCTGCATTTCCCCTGAAGCAGTGCAACAGCATATGTCTGAGATGGAGTAAGGGACAATAACTTCCAAGCCTCGGGGTAAGAAATGTTGTTAACAGTAGGTAAACATTGCACCTCTTTCTCCTCCACCCACTTAGGGCAAGATCGAAAGTAAGAAGGGAGGGGAACCACCACAATTGATGCAGTGAGGGTCCAGGTGACACACATAGATATCATGGTCTTTGCCACCACAATGAGCACACATCAAAGAACAACAACAGGATGCCTTAGAATGTCTGACTTGCTGACACTGGAAACACCTGAGAGGCCTTCACAGTGGCAGGTGGATGTAGTGATGTAAACATCAATACAAGCAATACATTGGTAAGCAGCATAATTCCTTCTTTACGAGTGGAGATGCATTGCACAACAGAAACTCCTTGGCTGGAGAAGCCGGTATGGATCTCCAACTCGCAGGTGTTTTGTAAATCACTCCTTGGGAGGAATTCAATGTAGTATGGGGAGCAACCTCAATAGGTATATTCTCAATGGCCTTCAAATTCAGGAGGAGTTCAATGTGTTTTGGTGTAGATGTTTCTACCAAGATATCCCCAGAACATAGCTTCTTCACTGACTTTGAAGAGTCAGGAAGACCCTCTAATCTCATCTCAATAAAAGGGAAACATCTGCCCTAAAGGTTTGTCTGTTAAAGAATACAACATGAAAAAACAAGATACAGGTGCAAAATGGGGTGGAGACTGCTGTTCAAAGTCTTCTAAATGTGGTTGCTTACCTATTAGCTGTTTTTTATGTGTTTTTTTTTTCAGGATTTGGGGGATCAATAAGAAAATTAAAACAATTCAGTTCCCACTGACCCCACCCACCATGGAGCCCTACAAGGGGACACACTACAAAGCCAAACAAGGACATTGTAGCAATGCCAGGGCTTCATGAGCACTATACCCATACACCAGCATCAAAAACAATGTCCATGACACCCGTTGAAAATGGCTAACATTGGTACTCTGGTGACCTTAGCCCAACAGGAGTAGCTGATTAACCCTAAGGGAGCTACCCCAAGGCCACCCATCTACAGGAATTCAAGGCCAAAGTGGTGTGCTGCTGTGCTCCACATATCACTCAACCACCAGGATCCTCTCCTTCACAGGTCTCCACGCATGGCAACCACGTAGGTGGATTTTCAGATCCCAGAGGAAGTAAAGATGCAGAACCTTTCCTGAGAAGTCTTCTCACCATGTTAAGGAATCCACCTCGAGAAGGGAGGCCTGTTTGTTTTTTAATTTCGCGCAAAGCTACACGAGGGCTACCTGCAGCTAGTCATCACCACCCACCGCCAACTCTTGGGCTACTCTTTTACCAACGAATAGTGAGATTGACCGTCACATTATAATGCCCCCACGGCTGAAAGTTGAGCATGTTAGGTGTGACGGGGATTCGAACCCCAACCCTCAGATTACGAGTCGAGTGCCCTAACCACCTGGCCACGCCGGGCCCGAGAAGGGAGGGGATGAGAAAGAAGACATTGCTACAAATGGCAAATGGTTAATCAATTAAGTTTAACTACAGAGGCTGCCATGCTGACAAATCTCTCTCTCTCTCTCTTCTTTCTTTCAAATAACATATAATCTAGAATTTATTTTGGGAGAAGCTATTTTTCAATTACAAATTATGAACTGATAAATGACATATGGGACATTCATAATTTATCTTACCTAGACAAAAGTTTATAGTGTATTTTTATAATGATATTTGAATTATAACCCAATTCCTAATTAGTATTAAGCCACAGCTTCAATCTCTATAGCTTTAGTCTCACAGGTAACAATTTAACAGAGTTATGGAGTTAACTCACAAATAGATGCAATGACAAAATGTATGAATAAGAAACGGGGGGAAAAAAAAGGCTTGAGAACGTAAAGTCAAATCATGTATTAATAGTGTCTGCAAAGAACCTTCAGGTTCATATTGCAAGTCTAACTGAAAAAATAATTTTCTCCCCCTCACTTGTAAAGGACAGTTTTCTTAAGTTATCAGATATAAATGACTATTTTCTCTGTATGGACAATTGTTTTAAAACACTTTGTAAGAATAAAGTCTTCTACTTACTCTCTTCTTGACTACACAGAATAATTAGCCAGTAACTGCTTCGATGGGAATTTTGTTCCACCATTTCTACATAGTTTTCATTGGTCAAGTCAACTGAAGTATCGGGAATTGTCTGAAGAACATACTCAACCATAGCTTCTGCATCCCTAGCACCATTATACTTTTCCCTCTATTAAACAAGTCCATAAATATTTAATAAAGACTAACAACACATGAAATAATTACACAATTACACATTATTTACAAAAGAAAATCATTTTACAATTTGAATTTTCAAAATCATGTTTGTACATCATTAATAAAATATATTTGTTCTATTCCCATTTTAAATATTGTATTTGTTAAAAACAAGCAGTCGTTCCTTTGTTAAGCAGAAAATTTTCAGATTATTCATACATTCATTGATTACCTTGTTAAAATGAAATTCTGAGAAGCTAGAAAACTACTAGTCAAAGACTTTAATAAGTATTTGATAACAATATTACACACAATTAAAAAAGAAGAACCTAATGGATTGTATTTTTATTTTTTTTACTTGAATATATATATACATGGAATTTTTATATCAAGACTACAATTTAATTTTTTTTCATAAAAGATTCAAATTTATATAAAAATAGTTTTCACAGTTAGTCATACACCAAAGAAAAGCTTTTTCTCTCTCATTACAAATATTAAATACTATAACTTTTAATACAGTATGTGTATGCTCACAAAATTTGGCAGACTTTCAGTAAACATTACAAGTTATTTGTACATGAAAAATCTGATTTTTTTTTTAATGAGGGAGTTTTACTGAATATATCAATTTTTTTTTGAGTGCAAAGGGATTTTCATATTAAGGTTAAAAATACTTTTCTTTGTCTCAAAAATCTCAAATTTAATTTGCATAACCTCTAGAACCTCCTAGATACACATAAAACTTTTTTTCAGTAAAACTATATATTTTATCTGTTATTACCTTTACCTCAATGATATACTTGATTCTTCAACCTGTAGACAAATCATCAATGCGTGATGAAAAAGTTGCAAAATCAGAAATAAAAATAAGCAGCCGTGACTTTTTTCATTCTTATTGGTCACAAAGTTTGAAAGTACTGTATTTTTCGGAATATAAGACGCACCTTTATTTTGAAGACAAAGTTTTGGGGGAAAAAAGCTACAGTCGCATTTGAAAGATTTTTATTGAACAAAAATTCCTTTAAAAATTAGTATATATTATTCTCAGCACAAAAGATCTTAAAACATCAAAATAAGAAAATATTGTAAATCAAAAAAATGTTTACTGTTATTTAGTTTGGTTCAAAAACCTACAAAATTTTCATTGCTTTCACTGTAATTTTTTTTATTATTATTTAGGGAGCATTATAAATAGTTATGTTTTTAAAAGAAAAAAAAACTACTATTGTTATAAATAACACACTCAGTTGAACTAAACTATGCATGCCTATTTAAATATATTTACACATAGCTTGTGTATATCGTATATATACATATATATTATTCATACCTTCGGTGTATAGGACGCAAGCAGATTTTGACATCAAATTTTGGGGTAAAAAAGTGCATCTTAGGTATACCATAAATTACTACATAAATACCATAGAATTCCACTATAATTTATCAAGCTTAATAACTAAGCTGTATTTTAGTTTAAAAAATATGAAATTTTGAGCAGACTAAAGACACAACCTACCTTAGTTCCAAAAGAAATGGCGTCCTAAGAATTTAAAATGGCCAAGAAAGCCACTAAGAGGACATTCTGAGCTTTCAGTTGGTTATTCATGTTATATATAGAAGGGTGCGTTTCCAAAAATGGAAAGACATGAGTGGGGTGCTACTGTGTTTGATTTATGACATGAGCAATATCTTAGCAAATAGAAATGATAAGACATTCTTATTTTATATTCTACCTTGTCAATATCGGCAATTTGAGTTTCTAATTCACAATAAACTATAAAAAAATAAACTATTAAAAAATATGAAATTTTGAGCAGACTAAAGACACAACCTACCTTAGTTCCAAAAGAAATGGCATCCTAAGAATTTAAAATGGCCAAGAAAGCCACTAAGAGGACATTCTGAGCTTTCAGTTGGTTATTCATGTTATATATAGAAGGGTGCATTTCCAAAAATGGAAAGACATGAGTGGGGTGCTACTGTGTTTGATTTATGACATGAGCAATATCTTAGCAAATAGAAATGATAAGACATTCTTATTTTATATTCTAGCTTGTCAATATCGGCAATTTGAGTTTCTAATTCACAATAAACTATAGAGTTAGTATATTGACATTACAAACATCTAATATGAACAAGTTCTGCATTAAACATACCATGTGACACACAAAAATCAATGTTTAACTGTGTTTTTTAATATTTACTTTTAAATAAAATAATTTAATAATGTATAATACTAAAATTTGAATTATAATCTACAGTTTGATACCAAATTTATTTCATGAAATAGTAGATAAAATAAAATTTTGAATGCGAGTCAACAAATGCGATGACATGGCCTTTGACCCGTGACCCATCTGGAAAGGGTTAATATGTTCATCTGTACTCATTCACCATGGAACATTTGGAACTAGCCAACAACCCCATATATAATAACAAAATCAGTGTAACTCCCTTATGACAGACTATCACCTTCAACATAAAAATACAATTACAGGCTAGGTAGAACTAAAATATTCATCGTGTACTGTTTCCAGTATCTAATGTTATACACATAACACTTCAATATAAATGAATGAGATCTTACCCTAGGAAAAATAAGTAAAGAAGGATAAGAATGAATTCCTTGTTTTCGACACAGACCCCAGTCTTCTTCGCAGTTTACAGCTCCAATTCGAATTACACCTTCCAGTTCACGAGCTAGTTCACGCCACTTAACCATAAAAGAGAAGAAATAATAATAAAACACAAATCAAGGTATAAGTAAGATGAACATTTGAGGCTCCATACTTAACTGAAATTATTACTAAGATGTTTTCTAAACAATTAAAAAAAATTTTGTGGATATTATCCAGAGAGCCTCTAAAATACGGGGAGACATGACAATGATACTGATATTAACTGACTCGAGAGTGTTAATCATTATGCAGTGCAATTAATAATATAAAAAAAAACAATTATAAGTTTAAACCACTAGTAAAAGTGATAATGATAATTACAAGTCTCCAGCACTGATTTGTTTTTGGTTCTTTACTGGCATTCAAACAGTTTATATTGTTGGACATCATATGGTCCTCTTTGTATTCTATGGGAGACTTCCTTTGTTTGAAAATTTCCATTGCTACGATAGCTATATTACCACAAGGTGTGCCTTCTCTTATTAGACTATCTCTAATAAAAAATTTTCAATAAGAAACTATTAAAATGTTCCACCTATTGCAATCTCAAAAAGTTTGGGTATCACTTGACTGAAAAAAAAATAAAAAATGACTGATCCAAATACATCAGTTTCTCCTCCTTTGATTTAAAAAGAAAATGTGTATAACTTTCTAATATATACATGCACCATTTTTTGCATCTCAGATCTTGCTCTTAACTTTTTACACTATTACCATGTTTTATCAGAAAACAATACCTTGACTCTTTTAAACCTGTAATTTTTTGCACACTCTGCTGGAATTATTTTCATGATTTTCTAATAATTATCATCATCCCTTATGAAATTTCAATTTTCTAAATTTTATGGATAATAACATGGTTTGGATTAGTTTTCAGCCAAAGAGAGATAAAAGTTATCATACACTGTCACCATCCAATGGATAAATTGAGATTTTCAGCTGGATGCCAGCAGTGTCTGCTCGGGCTTAAAGAGTTAATCACTTCAACTCAGATACACAAATGGTGTGTATATGAACAATAAAATTATGAAAATTTCAACATAAGAAAATATAAATATATCCTCATTTTCTGACACATTTTTATAATGTATTAAACACAATTCTAAAATGTAAGCATCCAGTGGCTTCACAGTAAATTAAGGGCTTATGCTTACTTTCAATACCTGCAGTGGGCACAGCAAAGATAGCTTATTGTGTAGCTCTGTGCTTATCAATAAATAATCTAAAATGTAATAACATATATAGTGATTATAAAAAGTTTTGCAGTTGAGCTTGTTATATCCCACAAACAGTAGTGTATAAGGAGGTGAAATTGTACATGTGTAATATGGGTTTAATGCAGGTGCAAATGTCACAGTTGTCAAATGTTGTCACTAGGGGCATAATTGTGGGTTTTTTTCCCCATACTTCTCATGGGCATGAGTGGATCTATCAATTGCAGCTTAGTTCATTCAGCCAACATAAAACTGGTAAGTGTTGGCAATAAAATGTACTAGTGCAATGTTATTACTTCAAAAGATGCAACGCCAAAGCAACATTCAAAGAATACAGAGTGCACAGCATCTGAACAAGGCCTTGTTCCACTATTGTTGTGTGATGACAGGTTGCATTGGTGAATAAGCCATATACAAGCAGATTATGAACACCTACTGGAACTATGATGTAACAGTACATACCAGCACAAGTGCACATGGGTGCAAGAGCACATTGTGTTGCATGGGGTATGGATTTGCCAATTTAAGTTGTTTGTAAGGCTCTCCAAGTTTGTGGATCATTCCTTACAAGCTGCATCGTGTACAATAGGGTGGAGCAAAAAACGTTTTTAATTCATGTCAAATTCTCCATGGGTATAATAGTTGTATTTGTATGTTTATAATAAATGTGTAAAATATTCAGTTTTGTGTTTGTTTACTGGTTCCACAAAATGCCTGAAGTTTCCAATACTTGTGTTCTGACATTCAACCTGTCTTGCATAGTTACTAGTAAAATTTCATTAGTTGTTTGCATTGTTCATGCTCAGGAAGTAATGAAATATATTTTTCAAGGGTAGCTAGCTATAAAAATGTACTAGTTGGCAACCTTCCTTGAGCTAGTAGCTACTACATGAATGCAGTGCACTTTGAGTAAGATGCGATTTGAAGAGGAATTGTCACCCTGCTGTAGTGCTATGTTTCTTTATTACAGCATTCATCCCAAGTTTGACAAGGCGAACTATAAATAAACATCTGTCGGCATTTTCACAGGTATCAGGATTTGATGCAAGACCGTCGAAAATCAATGTTCTACCAATAATTGCAGATATTATTTTACAGTATCAGCATATACTACTAAAACTGAAGCTATTAGCATGAGATGCTGAACCAAAGGTTGCTGAAATTGCTGAGAAAGTTGTAGAAGACCTATGGGAAATTGATCCATTTCCAATTATTTCTCATAATAGCTTGACAAGGAAAATACATAAGTGTTGTGATAAATATCAGGCTTTGATGAAATCAATTGAGAGGGCTGAAACACCTACCTTTGATTCTAAATGGCAGAACTTTCTCAAGGAAACAATGAAATTGTTTGATATATATCTGCTTGCCAATGCATTTCAACATCTTGCAGATGTGATGTAACTTATTGAGTTCCTATTTCTGAAAGAATTTTTAAATGACCAGGAAACACAACAAAAAACTGGCATTGGAAGATTAGATTTAGTACTAACCAAAAACTGCAAACGTGATATGAACATAAAATAAAAAGTCAGAAGAGGATATTAGATGATAAAGCAAGCATGACTATAGCAGAAGAATGTCATATCTCTTCATTATTTGAATCAAAAACAAATGTCGAGCCTAACAATTCTAAGTTAAAGATTACTTCAATCTCATCTGTTGGTATAATAATTGAACCTTCATCAACATCACATTAGATGAGAACTAGTATGCCTGTGCTGACTAGGACTTGTGATCAGTATGGTGCTTCGGATCACTCTGCAGCAGCCATTGTAATTCTGTGATACAAGATCTTGGCATCATCCACAAAGAGGAGACACCTCACATGTAATAGACAGACACAAGTTGAGATGAGAAAGAAGGAAGCGGAGGCACAAGATAGTGCCAAATCATTGCAGTGTAAGGGACTGTACTTTGATGGTTGAAAGGATAAGACAAGAATAATGGTGAAACAGGGAATGAAGTATTATCTCAAAACTAATACAGAAGAGCATATTACTCTTATTCAAGTACCACAGGTAATATATATGTTGGCCATATCACTCCACTGTCTGGAAGGAGTAATGACATATTTGATTAAATGGTCTTATTTCTATCAGAAGGTTGTATTAATACAGGCATTCTTAACATTGTTGGCTGCAATGGTACAGTGACAAATGCTGGGCCTAGAGGTGGTGTGCTTAAACTCCTAGAAAACAATTTGGGAAGGCCTATACAACGGATGGTATGTATGCTGCACATGAACGAACTTCTTCAGCATCTCTTCCAATATCGATGGCTGCACACATGGACCAAATGTATTCATGGGAGAAGTTGGCAAAGCAATAGCTACTCGGGAACATCACTCTATTGTAAAATTTGTTCCAATTCCTATTGATCTACCACAGTGCATAGAAAATACTGAGTTAAGCATTGATCAGCTGTATTTGTCAGACACTTTGTTTCAAATGGGATCTGCTCATCAGATTTGGAAAGACACGAACTAGGTGCTTGAAGCCATTCATGAGGGCTAACAACTGCAAAGATAATCCTACGCTTGTAAGTCGCAACTGAAAGTCCTTCAGAATCCCTTCATGTACTGGCTGCATTTGTTTGCAAGGTCCATGTTCATAGTTAGTTTTGTATTATAATTCATTCTTCATATACAGATGGTGCAAAAAATTTGTGGCAGATAATTAGGAGTTTGAGATACCTTTCAGAAGATTTGAAAGCAGTTGTTGAGCTGGTAGTTCAGAGAAATGGTTACTATGGTCACCCTGAAAATGTGTTGATTGCTATGCTTGTGGATGACCATGAACATATAAGAAGGCTAGCCCTTCAAAGAATAATGGCTGCCAGAACAGCAAGACACAGTTGCACAGATTTCAGATATTTCAGAATTCCCAAAATGAATTTCAATGCATCTGACTATTTTGATTTAATTGTTGACTGGCAAAATGATGAAAGGCTGGAACCTCCTCTAACCCAACTTATCTCTGATGAAGAGCTCATACAGCTAGTAAATCAGGAAGAGTTTGCCCCAAAATTATAGTTTGACCAGTTTCTTATACTCAAGCCACAGAATGAGGAGTATACTTTGTTACTGAAGCTTCTGCTGCCATTTGTGGACCTGAGAGCTGAGATAGGTTCATTCAAGCACATTTAAGATGAAGAAAAATTACACCTCATTTCAACACCAAGTCAGATTACACACGTGACTAAATTAATACAAGATCTACAAAGGCAGGGTGGTTGGGGTAGAAACCAATGTGCAACCACCTCCCCATAATGGGTTCTGGATATTTTAAGCCACATAATGGTCGAATTTAGCAAAGAGTTGCACAAATATCCCAACTAATGCCTTAAAATTATATGCAGTTTTATCAAATACCATACAAATTTTCAATGCATTTGCAAAACCATAAAACCAATGCTTAGGATAAAAATATTTTAACAGTGAATTACTGTCATCATTACGCAATTTTTGCACTACGGGAGAAATTGATTAGCAAAAAAAATTTAGTTTTCATTCCACCCGAATATACAAGCACTGGAGAAGACAGATTTAATCATATATCTTGAGTCTGGGTTGCAGTTTTTAGTAAGACTAGAAGTCGATGACTAATGGCCCGTCAATATCTTATGGACTGATGAAGCATACTTCACCCATTTTTGAAGTGTCAACGTGCATAAATACATTATATGGTCAAAACTAAGCCATAAACAACACTTCCTATGTATGTACACCTCCACGATGCTAAGGTGACAGTGTGGTGAAGTTTCACAGCTGACTGTTATTGGACCATACTATTTTGAAGAGCCATCAGCACATGGATTGTAAAGCTGCACAGTCAATACTCCATGGTACCATCCAATGCCACAATCAATGTGATTGCCTTACTGCAACAGTTTTCATGCAGGATTGTGTACCTTCTCATACTGATAACCAACCATTTCTGGTTGTGGGGGTGCCTCATATTACATGTGTACCATGGGAAACCCTTAAGTGTTTCCAGAATTCCTTGATGAAATTGTGTGGGAAATGACCAGCATACAAAATGAGGTGCTCGTTGTTGTAATGTCCATTGTCTCACATATGCAATGTATTCTGGACACTGGAGTAGTATATTTTGAACAGTTCCTGTGATTGATCAGACACTAGATCATGGTGGCACCCCTGGTAGCAGCATTTGACAACTATGATGTTTGCATCTCCATGATACCCTTAACAGCCCTATGAAATTTCCTCTTCCTTTACCATACTGTTTAAGAGTTACAACACACTGAACTTCAAAACTTTCTTTATAATTCTCCCATATACAGAAAAATACATTACAGTTCATGGAAAGAAATATGTCAAAGTCATCAGCATATTAAAATAAACTTAAACTACCAAGTCAAACAGTAGATTCAAAATGTGAAACATTACCACTGACATTGATTCATTCCTCAAAAGGAATTAGTCTTGAACTTTCAGAATTGTAGACATATTTGATACATACCATTGCTATCTTACAACAGATTTGATTATTTTGTTAATGCAGCTTTAAATACTATTTAATTATAGTTGGAGATCGAATGATATATTTGATGAAAAGAAGCTTTGAGCCCAAAATATTTGTTACACCTAGTAAGGTAATCTATTTTCCAAAAAATCTATTGAATCGGCTTTATTTATTCTTTTTTTAGAGTAACCTTGAGGTGTAATAACACACGAACACATAACATTGTAACATTTAATTTCATGTTTTGAAACAAAAGAACACAGACATTGAGAAGGGGATTTTTAGGAGCACTGATACAATTTTAAAATGGTTAGATTATGTTATGATCTAGTTGATATACTTAAGACATAATAAATTGTTGTTGTTTTTAATTCAAAGTTAAAATACATGTAAAGAATAGTATACTTCTATGCACATCCCATGAAAACAGCAAGTGTTTTTCAATGAGTTCATCATCAAAAATAACTGGTTAATAAATAGCACAATCATAAAAAATTAACCTATTAAATCACCATTAAAGCTAAAAAGGAAATTAAAGCAGGAAAAAGAACGAAAGAAATATAAGGCTTAATTATGCAATTTGCTTGCCACACAAGCAAAGTTGACAAATATAGACTAGTGTTTATCTTCCACCACACAAAAAAAAAAATCCAATAAGCTATCTTATCTGCTGTAAATGTCACCCAAGGATTTATCTATCTAATAACTGTGAAAAGACTGTTTAGAAAAATAAGATCAACAAGTATAATCAGCCAACCTATACAGCCAAAAACATGTGTAATCTTAATTGTAAATGTCAAACATAGGAAACATCACGTAATTTTAAGAAATCAATAATATAGATTGCATAAAAAGTTCTACCATTTATACATTTTTATACTTTTTATATTATAAAGTGTGGAGATTTGTACTCTTCTCAAAGGTAGGTGTTATCCATAGGTTGTAGAAAAACAAACCAAAAATAAAACCACATTAGAGATTAGCATCCCCACCCCACCACCATCCATTAGTTCTGTTTGAACAGGTTAAAAACATACATCCTCAAACCAGAAATTACCTCTCTAAATCTTAAGTTGTCCTGATAAAAATAGAAAAGTTGAGCTAATAAAAATTCTGCTAACTATTATTACCATTCTTCATGGTATAAAAAAATTAAGGCAGTTTTTTTAAGTATGCTATGCTAACACAGAAAATTATACATTTTCCCCCTCACACATTATGACTTTTACAACATTACCATGGTTTAATAATAGCTTTGTATCAATGAACCGCTCAGTCATCACGCAAGAAAGAAATTGAAAGTACTAAAGAAACTGAATGAAAACATTTAACTTTGTGCTTTCATTCTAATTGTTATTAGCTTTCTTCAACTCCTTCAAAAAGGTACACAATTTAAAATTTCCCAAAGTTTCTATAATAGGAAATTACAGTTTAGATACTTTAAGTTATACATTTACTGTATGTATACAGCAACAAGTATTAAAAAAAATAATAATAACAATAAGCACTATTATAAAAACATTTCTATTTTTAAATAAAATGGGTTTTTAACACAAAATAACAATCCAGATGCTTACAATAATTTTAAATGTATACAAGAATGAAATGTTAACTTACAGCAGGAGCCAAGTGGTGACAATGAGAACATTGAGGAGAGTAAAAATTGATGAACCACGTGTCTTGCGATCCCACAACTGACTGATCTGTACAGTGTTATAGTAATACTTTAAACAACTAACTAATATCGTTCACTACTACCAATGTGTTCAAGTTAATATCAACAATTCAAACCAAAACATAGGTAATGCTCAGTAATGATTACGTACACATCAATTTACAATTAGTAAAACTTACTTTTTTCACAAAAACTTCAATCAAGAGGAGAACAACAACAATATACAGTGATTCACAGAGCTAGGTGAGTAGAGTAGTATTTTATTCGCATATCAGTTAATCAATGATCTCATTAATTCATTACATTTGATTAACTGATTTGTAAAGTGTTCCTCAAAGTTAACATTTCCCTAAATTGAAAATGTATTTCCAATAATACTCACCTTCACTGACACATTGCTATTACTTGTCTGCCAGGGTATCATCTTTGTCGATCTAAATGTGGGTCTGATTTTCTTTTTTATATTGCTTGCTCCAGTCTTTTATACCCAACTCAATTGCCCTTAGTGATATATGTCACACGATACTCTCCACCTACGTCAGTGTGCCTTCTATCCTGGTACTGTATATAAGCACCCCATTCAGATAATTTTCATTTTTTTCAAGACTGATACTATCCCAGTCTCTAACACCAGCTCTTATGGGAAGTAAAGGCAGGAGAGTGTCAGTGGAGATAAGTATTATTGGAAATACATTTTCAATTTAGGAAAATGTAAACTTCTAAAATATGCTTACCTCTGCTGCCACTCATAGCCAGAATCCCAAAATGAGAAGGTGGAGGGCCGGCGAGGGCATTATCTATACAGAAAGTATCTACACAGATCATTGGTGTACCAAGATAAGAGTGGTTCCCAAGTGAGGGGAACTGCACTACATCCAGAACAGAAATGCTCTTCACTCTAAACTTAGTTTCTGTGTCAAGAGTGAAATTGTGGATGAGTAATCATCAACTACAGGCCAGCCCCAACGAGATAGCCAAGGTTCCACTACTTGGGGTTGGAATTAATGGGTTTTGGATCTCAACTTGTAGCCTCAACATTGAGTGATGCATTCTGAATCACCGGAATCACGATGAGAAAATAAGAAACACTAAAGCGGACAAACCTTCTCCTCCACCTGAAGAAGCTCAGGCTCGAAATAACAGATCATGTATGGCTTACTCATCCAAAGGAACAGAGCTCATCTGGTCTGAAATTATGAACATTCATCCTACAAATGGGCAAGGAGCCTCCCACTTGCCACTGTAATTATAGGGAGGACATGGAACAACTGTGCTCAACCAAAAACCCAGGATGGGACCATTTCACATTCAGAATTACAAGGAGATAGTGGACATCCTTCCACAAACAATATACTGAACCAACATTGATCAAAAAGAAGGGCCATGAACATCCCAAGTGGATAGCTGTGCATCAAATCTAAACGAGTATTACGAGAAGGCTCCTGCATTGGCTGGTGCTGCTTCTACCAACATCTGGGAAAAACATCCAGGGACCTGGGTAGGAGGGTCCTCCAACTTCACCCTCTTCTCAAAGAGTGGAAGAATTCACTCAAACACACTGGAGGAAAAGCCTCAGTTCACCACCCTACATTAGGGAGTCCTAAAGATCAATGCTCTGGAAACAGTGCAATAGGTGAACCAAGTTCTCTATATTTTTAATAGCAAACTGACCCCATTTTATTCAAGCTGATGATTGGCAGGGATAGGCAGGATCCCCTTAGCTTAATATGATAATACTGTCTGGTGACCTCCCAGATGGTCTTATGGAACACCTCATTTCTACAGAGCCTGTTGTAACCAGTAGTAAGTATAGAGAAAAATCAGTTGCTGGTGCAGAATTGGATCCGTAAAAGCACACCTCTCTGGGCAACACTCGCCACAGAGTAGGATCCAGTGCAAAAAATTCAGTAAGGGGCTCTGGAAATTGTCTTGAGTCATTTGTCCCAAATGGCCTTTTCAATTACCGAACTAGGATATAAAGGTACTATTACAAGCTTTGTCTTGACATTCAATCGATCCTTTAGTCTCATGTACCATTTATCACCTTTTCCTTAAAGTGTATTTTTTGTTGCTGCTAGCATGTGAATGTTGCAAATCAGAGTTAGTTGTTTGCACTACATGTGCGCAGGACTCTTTACCACTCCACTTATGTCCTGCTATTCCCTGATAGATCCTTTCTTCCTAAGACTCTTGCAGCCAGGGAAGGGGACAAATCCTTCTCACCAATTCATTTGTCAGCTGTTTCTCACCTCTATGTCTGCTTGGATCCTGATCGTTTGTTATGTCCTTTCAGGGCTCTGAAATGTTGTGATTTGCTAACTCCTTTTTGAGGTGCTAGAAATCAACTCTTTATTCATTGGGATTCTTCAGTTTCTCAGGATTTATTCCCAATGACCTTGAAAAGATGGCTTTGCAAATTGATCCATATTGCTTATTCTGGGCTTTCTTTACAGGCAAGGAAACTTGTGCGAGTCATATCTCATCAGATTCATCCCATTTCTATGTCTTTAGCTGCCTGTTTGAATTGCCCATTGGAGGCATCGTGCGGGCTGGTATGTGGACTTTTCCCAATAATTTTCTCTCACATTATTTACACAATCTGGCAGTTTCTTCTTCTGAGGATTTTTGCCTACCCCCTGTGGCCATTTTGACCACATCTGCTTGGTTATAAGGAGGGGTGAGTATTTTTACTTTTCTCCTCTTTACTGTTGCTTTACATATGGAAGGTTTATCATCTACTATTTGGTATTCTAAACTTTGAGTCCCTTGTGCTATCTGGCCTTCTCCTTCTACAGTATCTTCAAGAGTGTCCACCTCTGCCACTTCCTCTTTCACCATCTCTGTTGAGGCAACATCGATCAGACATTTTACACCCAGACATTTCCAAGCTCAGACTTCATGTATTGAAGTTATGTAGTCTTTCACACAACATCTGGGTTTAAATTTTAAAGTTGCCTTTTATTTGTCTGAATCTATCCATAGACCCACAATGGCCGTTTATCAAAGGAAATGGCACACTTATCACCAATGGTTTCCCACAAAGAAATTGAACCCACTTTACCCAAATGTGCCCACCATATCTCAATTTTTTGATTTGGCTTTTTGACAAAGGTCTAACTTTATTTAGGAAACAATGGTTGGGCCAGCCAATCCGGGGTTATCAACATTACTTGACAAGTAGTGGATCAAACCATAGGCAGAACTCTGGGTAAAAGATAACTCGGGGGAAGAAGGCATAAAGGTGAAATCCTATCCAATCTTAACTGAAAGCATCTATCACCAAAGTCCGAGGATGAGGTACCAAAATGCCTGTAGTTGAGAGTATTAATGAGTGGTGAATGTGTTGATCATCAGAGTCCTGAACTGAGAGCAAATCCACTGAAAAACCTCGTGATGGAGCATCCATCCAATTGGGAGAGCTTGATTGGGCTGAGACAGGTTATCTGCTATTAAATTCATCACCCATGGAACACAGCAAACCAGGAGGCTGATATGATGGGAGTGAGCACAGTAGAGAATATCCATAGTTTGAAAACAAAGGACCCAAGGACATGTGTCCCCTTGACAGGAAATGTAAGATACCACCGTGGAATTGTCAGAAAGAAGCCTGACGATTTTCCACTTCAATATAGCTAGACATTGAGCCATTGTCCATTGGACAGCAAGAAGTTCTAAAATATTGATATGGAAGGAAGATTAGTCATCAGACCCTGGAATTCCTAACCATTAATATATGCACCCAATCCTGAAGTGAGGCATCTGTGAGAAGATGAATCTTGGGAAGAGGGGGTGGTATAAGAACACGTATGGTAGTGTTGGTCCAATCCAACCACCACTTAAGAGCTAATATGTTGCTTCTGAGTAAGAAGACTGGATGATCTAATGGATCAGAGGTCATGCAGCGACCACTGGAGGGACAGCATGTGTGCTTGTGTTGAAGGAATCAGAGATTCAAGGGATGCCCACATCATTGTAGTAGGAGAAGGAAATGTAAGAGCCTGATTGCCTGTTCCACAGCCTGGAGCTGACTGAGCCAGGCTTATAAACATGTTGAAAAAGACACCCAAACTCCCTCCAACAAGGCATCTTTACCCAATAAATCCCAACAACATACAAGACAGGAAACCAAAGAAAGAGCAAAAGCTGACAATCTTACCAAGATAGAGGTCAACAAAGGACCCAATTCATCATGAAATTGATTTGGGAAACACTGAGAGACTTCCGACAAAATTTGGAGGGAAGATAAATATTTTTGAACATTAGCATCAGTTAGAAAATTGTGATCTGCTCAAAGTGATCACAGGGTCCAATCTGGAACCCCACACATCCAAAAGAAGATCAAGTCATTGGGAATCTAAATATACAGTACATCCTTCTGGCAGTTGCAAGCCAAAGCACACTGTTCCAACAAATGTGGGGGGATAAGGCATAGCTATCATGTCTTGTAACTGAGCAGTAAACCTCCCAGCATGAACAGCAATATCAAGTGAAGGAGAAAAATTATGTAGTCACCTTCAGACCTTTCAGCCATCAAGGAAGAAGTAGATTCAAAGGCAACCAGGGAAAGCTCCAAAACCTCCCAAACCTGACTGTTAACTGAAGAAATGGAGAATGAGATGGCTGATCCAAATTGACCTCTTAAGAAGCCAACCTAGTAAGTGAAAATAACTGGAAAAAAAAAAAGTCCAATTTCTCTTCAGAATGTCCTGGATCATTGACAAAAGCAGCCTCAGAATCCCCCCAGACCAAATATACGTCTCCATCTAACAACAATTCAGATCACGAACAGCCTCAACTGAGAGTGAACCCCTCCACCCCTCCAACCGTTGATAAATACTAGATAACAGAGGTGGAATGGGTGGGTGGGCTGATTAGCCTCCATACTGGAAACAGTGACCTGGAAATTCATGCCTGAAAATGGCGTGTTGCAAAAACAATTTTTTTAATAGAATTATTAAATAAAATTTGTACAGAAATCAACAAGGCAGTGCAAAAATTGAAACCATGGATGTTATCTATAGCAGCACTTCTTTAGAGAAACCAGTGTCTAAACACTGTCAAGAAAAAGTGATAAAATTATCTGAATGAGGTGCTTATACACAGTACCAAAATAGAGGGTGCATTGTCATAGGTGGAGATTATCACGAGACATATATTGCCAAGGCAATTGAGTGGAGTATAAAAAACTGGAACAAGCAAGAAAAAATTCTGACCAATACTTAGTTGATCAAAGATTAAACCCTGACAGTCGAGTAATAGCTATAAGTGGCAGCAGAGGTAAGTATGTTTTGGAACCATGGTACATACAAGAAAAAAAGTTGGAAGAGGGTGCTGTCGGACAGTTGCCTTTCCTCTAGTCAACAGATAAAATTAGTGACAATGGTAGATAGCCTTTGTAGCTTTATCATAATAAAGACAGAGTGAGCAAGTTTGGTGGTAATAGGAATCGAAACAAAAACCTTCAAATTATAAGGCTTCCACCTCTGAATCACTAAAGCTGAACAAACTTAAATAAAAAAAACTAATAACGCCAGAATTGGGCAAATCACAAATAGACCAAAGTTTTGTAGCTTTGTGCTTAACAAGAAAATACATAATGGCAATATTTTGATTACTCAGATAGTTGAAATCATGGAAAATAGTAATAATAAAAACTTTAATTTTCCAATTTTTAGTTGGTTATTTTCCTGAAAATTGATTTAAATTGTAATTTTCTTTCAGCAAATGTTGGAATAAGCAGAAACAGCAATAATCAGAAACATTAATTTTCATTAATTGATTTAATACTAATTTCAATTAATTGATTAAATTATGCAACTTTAATCGATGTAATCACTTGTCATAGGTAATTGATTATATTGCCCAGCTCTAGTGGATAACTTTACCAATAGTCACTCCCCAAAAATGCAAAAAACAAATATCTAAAAGGTATAGTGTATATACAATTAAAAAAAAGGTTTTTTGCATTTAGTTCATAATACTTTATATTTCAAATTAGCTTTTACTGTATTATGTGTAGTCAAAATCACATTTTCTACAGTGCAAACAGTACATTTCAGTACAAATGTCAAACAAATCTCAATAAATTAAATATTTTCAAAGCTTTTACAAGATCTGTTTTAAACTAACGTTCACTTCATACAATGTTATTCCTACAAAATATGAGAAAAAGTAAAACAAATATTTTATAACTTGTTGCATTACAGTAACTATTCAAATGAGCTTGAAATTATATTTAAGTGATGGCAGTTGTTGACCTATTTGACAGGCACGGCACATGCTAAAAATGGCTAGATTTTCAACCACACTAAATCAACATGTGTCATATCTCAGAACTCTCATCTTCATGTTTCTCACTTCCTTGCCACTCAATCTATAGCTTACCTAACCAAACCCTCCTGTTACCATGCCAACAGGACATTCTGGCATGCTTAGCATTCTTTGTCTGAATGCAATAAACAGCTTTCTTATATAGAAATGTTAAGCTTTTTTGAAGCTTTACTTACAATTAATTAATGTTTATTACATTCTCATAAATGATGGTTTAGTGTTGAGATTATGAACATGAACCTGTAAATTCTATGTGAAGCTGAACTTCACTTATCTCACCTGATGAGCTGCCACTGAATTTAAGTCAATATCAACTGACATTAATATCAAACATTTATCATTTCACAAGGCATTACTTTATTCTACAAGTTTCTATCAATTATCTCATTCTTCTAAAATTTAGGTTAAATTCATAACTTACATAAAATGCTGAAAATCTTAATAAGCCAAGAGGAAAGTTACATTATTGTGAACCACCACAAAAACATGTAAAACAAAATTTGAGTAGTTAATCAACAATGAACACACCTGTTCTAAGAAAACATTGGAAACTGGAATAACTACAAATCAACAAAACAGAGCTAACAACTATATATTATATTAATGTAATGACTTTTAAAACATCTGTTATCACAGCCTAATGTTGAACAACAGATTTAAGTTATGACAATATCATATACACAGATATTGTTTTCAGATAATAAATGTGATACATTTGTCACACCAGCTAACACATTACATTTTATTTAACTTATATTTAGAGGTTAAATAGAAGATGCACATTAAAAAAAAATAATCAAAATTTCACTCCTTTCGTATAGAAGATGCTTTTAAACTTGATGAACCAAATTTAGAAGGATCATCCTGAGTTGAATATATGTATATTTTAAGTAATTTCTTAATCTATCAGTTCTATTTTTTCAGTTAAATTACACAATTGTATTATTTTTATATCAACTAGAATGTACACTTTTACTTAGTGTTATAATAACTGGATCATCATAAATCCCTGTCAAAAGTAACAAAAACATTATTTATAACAACTAGAAGGTACACTTACCAAAGTCACTTTTACTTAGTGTTATAATAGTTGGATCATCATCATAAATCCCTGTCAAAGGTAACAAAAACATTATTTGTATTAAAATAACCCAGATTTCGAACATTATTAGGTGACTGACAACTGTAATGTTTTGTACAAAGATTTTATCAATATAGGGTATGATAAGTGTTTGCAATATATTGTTTAAATTAGTAAAATTCAATACTGAGAGAAATCTTAAAATGGAAACACAAAATAATTTATTACTTCATTGCTCAAAATGCAAATATAAACATGCAAAAGATAAACCCAAGAAAAGAAAAATTTAGATTACCATCTAACACACACAAGCAAATAATGATTAATTTTTTTCTTCTCAAAATTATTTCTAATTAAATGTTTTATGAACATGATTTCTGGAAATTAATTATAATCCAGTAACTATGTATAGGGAATGACTAGCCTATTTCTAATATTTCATAACATTTTTTTTAATGTATATTTGGTCATATCCTTTAAGTATTGCTTAATTAGCATTTTAACTTATGTATATTTTTATGTTCTTTTTGATAAATCCTTATAGACTGAAACTTGAAAAAAAAGATTCTCAAAGACGTATTCCTACTTCGTCAACTGTATGACCCTGCAAATTATAACTTGTGATGGCAAAGGCAGTGAATTTTATTATGAATTTTGAGGTCTTCTCTTTGGACTATCTTCCTGTTTTTGACTTTGTTAGCCTACTGAGCTGAAGAAGCAAGCTTTAATATGGGCATTTTCAAAATTGAAATGTGCTGGTTATTATAGTTATATTATTATTAAACATGTGGGTTATTATAGAGTTGTAGCCAAGGGGTCTGATTGGACAAAATCTGGTGATGCATCTCCTTGACAACCAAGCAAACGTCATGGGAAAATTCAGCCAATGATTATTATTTTTTGTGTGCCAGCAATACCAAGCATGGGGCCCATGTATACCTGATTCGATTTCATTACTCATCTCTACCAATCTACCTTCAAATCTAATTATATACCCAAAGTAGTGAATCATCCATTTTATATATATATGTATATTCTGCCAGCTATGTATGTATGTGAATATATATATACACACACACACACACACACACAGACATACATGGCTGGCAGAATTGCTTATCAAGGCAGAAAGCAGCATCATTTTTTACAGATTGCATGTCAATTGGTACCACAATATATATATATATATATATATATATCATATATATGTCATAAATTTAAGATTTAGAAAGCTACAAAATCTCCATTTAAAGGGGGAGGTACTACAAGTTTACAAGAGTTAGGAAATGGGTTAATGAATATTTGGGAGATAAACCTAATTGCTAAATTTGGCCCTTTTGTTTATGGAGGGAGGTTTGGGGTACAGAACGTCCTTGATGGAGTAAAAAAGGCTCCTTAACATCTTTCAATTTATAATTGTATCAACGTGTCAGTTTCTAATTTTGTCCTGAAACCTTGAGCAAATAAATGTTTTTCTAGATGTGCATGTTGTACCATGACTTGATATGAAATCAACACTCATATAAACTTACCAAAGCTTTCATAATAGTAATTCCAGCTGTGATATTTTCCCCGCCACCCATGACCAAAATCATCCTTTAGTCCCTCTTCTCCATAGAGGTCATATTTCTTTCTAGTTTCTTCATCTTTTAAAACTTCGTATGCTTTATTTAACTGAACAAATTTTTCCTCAGCTGAAGGGTCATCCTATTTAAATCAAAGGAGCAACCATTCTGAATAAGTAATTAAATCAAATGATAATAGTCAGGTGCTTGAGCATCTTACACAATCTAAAGATGTCTTGATTAGTATCTAATACACTATCAATAAATAAATTATAACACTTTCTCTCTGCTTTATTTAACTGAACAAATTTTTCTTCAGCTGAAGGGTCATCCTATTTAAATCAAAAGAGCAACCATTCTGAATAAGTAATCAAATCAAATGATAATAGTCAGGTGCTTGTGCATCTTACACAATCTAAAGATGTCTTGATTAGTATCTAATACACTATCAATAAATAAATTATAACACTTTCTCTATGCAAATTAGTATTTTGATTTTTTTCTGTTATCTCCAAGTTCTATTTTCATACTTACATCTTCATTCTTATATTAAAAGATATGTTAATGCCAATGGAATGATCATTAGATTTATGCATGGTACATATCTTACCTTATTCTTGTCAGGATGAAGCTTGAGAGCCAATTTTTTAAAAGCTTTCCGAATTTCTCGATTATCAGCATCTTTACCAATTCCTAGCAGCTCATAGAAATCTTCTCCAAGAGTGAAGGATGAAAGAAACAACACAGCTAATCCAAATTTCAGTAGCATTTTTTTTTTAGTCACACTTTGTTTATTCTTATTAAAATAGTGATGATTTGTCAACTTCTATGTGCACAAAAACTAAATTGATCTAATTTGGTGAGATGAAGTGCTTTCTAATATTGATGCAACTTCCTGAAAACATAAAATTTATCATAAATTTTAAAATGTAGCAACTAAACAAAAATTAATAAACCAAATATGTAAAAAGCCCAATAATAATAAAAAAATCCCTGAACCATGAATTATAATTCCAGTGTCATTGTAAACCACTTATAAAATGTCGACTGTTTAATGTATTTCTTCTTTATTCACTTTTATTGGCCTTACTGATAAGACAATATTTTCAATATTAAATAAAGTACTATCATCCTAGATCCTTAATATAAAGAAACAAAGGTAGTTAAACATTTTCTGGGAAACATATACTGAAATTATAATAGAAATATTCAAGACCTCTTAACATCAGATTTAACCTTTTATATTTTCTTTTGCTTTTGATTCTTTCATATAACATATTTCAAAAGATGCAAGACCATCCAGTAATAAAAGGGTTTAGGCAGGAAAATGAAACAAAAAAAAATCTTTCATTGACATATATTTGAATACACCTCTACTCAATTCTTAATTTTATTATAACATTAATGGCATCAAATGAAACCTTGAACAAAACTACATTCCTACTTAAGACTGATACAAGTAATACTAAAACTAGTATTAGTAATACAATAGTATTACTATTAGTATTAGTACTAGTAGTAAGAGAAAGTTCAACTTCAAGACAAATTGTAGTGCAGTTAAAATTCTTTTTTCAGCATTATTTTATAACAGTTCCAAAAACATTATTTCAATCACTAAAGTGCATCTTTTATTACTGTATTATATGTATAACAAATATGGAGATGTTACTCGGACACCCCCACACACTTTAGTTCATTCTCGCTCTATGCTCTCGGTCACCAACCGCTTATGAGTAGGAGATAGCCGAGTTTGGCTAAGATCTAACCGTACACTATACTAATTATTCAGTATAGACTATATCAGTAAATGCTAACTTAGCCCAACGCAAATAATGCTACTTTAATCAATTTAACACTCTAAAAGATTCACCTGACCAAATTACCATATTTTTTTTTTAACTACTTCACATTAATAATGTTATATTAAAACTTACTGGTCAACAAACACAACTGACAACCTAACTTCGAAAATGTCTTTCTTTGGACAGTGAAAACTAAAAATGAAAGTGTAACTATGACCGGTAGGTGGCATTTTTATTCATTTAGTTTTTGTCATTGCCGCTGACGGTTCATAAGCCCATTGGCTTACGTCTCAAACGTCATTATTTTCGATATATTTTACTGGAATTTTAATACCTACTTTATATATATATATATATATAATAAGTTATTTGTTTCTATCATATTTGGTCTATCATATTTGTTTATATCATATTTGTTCTACCATATTTGTTAATATCATAAATGAAATAATTCGACCTTGAATTACATTTACAAAAACACCCACTATGTTCTAAATCCTGAGGAGAAAAGGTGATTTTTCAAATCTTTGTTTTTTAATTATTCGCAATTTCAAAAGTTTCGTCGAAATTTTAAGGAAAAAAATCGGTACATGCTGATAAGTTCAGCAGTGAATTAAAAACCCACGAAAATCCCCTATTATGAAATACATTTATATTTAAAGCATTATGATAATTTTATATTTTCAAGAAGTTGAGTCAGTATTGGAAAGCACTTTGTCTCACTAAATTATATTTATTTACATATTTTGCTCTTAGAAGCTGGTATATCAGTAATATTTTAATAAGTGTGAGTTAAAATGCTACCTAAAGTTGGAATTCCTTTTGCTAAAGTAAAGATTACATGCGACAAGAGTTATCTCCAGTGATGTGCAGAGGACATCAAAATGGCAAGAACTCATCAAGAACTCAAGAGTACTTTTCAAACATTTTGGATGTGAAGGGGAGTTAGAAGAGATTATGAGGACTGGGGCTCTGGTATACATAGGGTAAAAATCCATAAGAAGCAAACAGGTCATATTTTATTCCTATTCATATGGTCTTATGAAGACTTTTATGATCTGAAATTAAACAATGCCTTTTTCCATATTAACACTAATATCATATTGATTTTCTGAATGTAAAGTCCCACTGGACCCTGTGTCCTATTTATTTTAAAGCTGAAGTCCTTTTTACTTTCCTAATAACTCGCAGCAAGCAAGATGTGGAATCGGGTGTATTTTTTCGTAGTTGTTGATAATTTTATGACAGAAAAGAAAAGGCACTTTAGGGGTATAAAAGCAGGAAGGCTGGGGCATGAGTCCAACCAACCACTCCCTGTGTGCGTCATTAATTTATCTCGTAGAAGGTTGTATTGGTTTGAGCCTGTGTTTTTGTCCACCCCGTGAAACGAGATAAGCCCACCTCAAGCTGTGACGTAAATACTTGTAAAAGTTAATGTGATATTGTAATAGACGATGAAGTGGGTGATTCAAAAATTGTGGAATACCTAATTGGGTCTTTTGTCTGACTTGAAAGTGCAATACAATATAACGTTTTCTGTCTTTGTCATGTGCAGACATGTTTGGAAACATTTTCTCTCTAGCCACAGCAGCAAAGTTGAATACAGAATAAGAAGATGGCAAATTAGTAAACAACTTTACTATTACGGATAAAAAATCTTTAAACATTTTTCCCTTGTGTGTACTTGTTTTTTTCTTTGCTGGCGTGTTCGATGTTTATCTCTGCATAATATTTCCAGTGAACCTGCAAGTCTTTGTGGAAACTTTGGCCTGGCTAACTGTGGATATCATTGTACCTAATATCACAGACTAGTTAAAATAGAATTTGGTGTCTTGACCAAAGGATTTGTTATTGCCGATTTTTTTTGGAATTTGCTTATTTTTCCATTTGACTCTCTGGTGCTGTAACATTTTTAAATCACGAGCATGGAAGGGCATTGTATAAAAACGAATAGAATTCATGGGGAAGAAGAGGAAATAATGGTTGAATTGAGGACTCAATCAAAAAATCGGCTAAGACCTAGAATTAGCACTCTCCTAGAACTAGAGTTTTCTCAGGCAATTATGAGAGCTATGTCTGTGTTCTCAATCTCTCTTAAGACCATTTGACTGTTAGGCATCCCGCTGGACAATTCTGGGCACCTCTGGTGCAAACTCCAGCGATTACTTTCCATGATCTGAAACATAGAGTGGCAGAGAAAGGTCACGATGAACCACATTGGAGTGGTCTCTATGAGAATACAACCACTCATTGACAATCCCAGGCATTGCAAGGAGCTGGCCTGAGTCACTCATTAATAAGGAGAGTGATGAGATCTGTGTGTTTTATCACAATATCATCTTGATATGATCCAGTGGGATTAGAAGTTAGTAAGAAACTACCCAGGATTTACAAAGCATACAAAAATGATTCAAACTGTATACTGTGAAATGCAATAATGATGTATTGTATGATGCATCATGGCATTTTGATGGCAATTGTGGTGTATTCTACTGAGAGCCAATATTGAACTTGCTTGAGGATGTCTCATTCATCAGAATGTGCGGGTGTATGTCTCGAAACTTCTAAGAGATAATGAGAAACTCCCCAAATGATTAGATTAGCAGGTTCTTGTCAGCACCACAATTTAATTATGGTGGCTCTGTGAAACAATTAAGTCGCCAGTGTTTAAAGAGATGACAGAAGGAGATGTTGACATTTACTCACATCTTTTAATCAAGTTGTTGGGTAGAACGGATGGGCTCAGAGACAAGTGGTACAGTTTCTGGTGCTGAGTTTAGATGGTCTCTTGCACAATGCCTTGAAGAACTTAGACAAGGAACAACTTGATACCTGGAGCATAGTTGCCAATGAGTTGTGTCAAATATTTGACTGTGAAAAACACAGCAACCTAAAGATTCGAGTTCAAAGCTCAAAAGTGAGGGTCCATAAAATACCCAACCACTTTAACAATGATTTAAATAGATTACATGTGAAGACATTTCCAAACATATGTCCTTTATTTGTTGATGATATTCTCATTGACAAGTTTATAGAAGGTGTCAAGCAATCCTATGTGGTAGTACCAAATGGTTCTTATGGACATATCTCTCTCAGAGGTAATTTCAGTAACTCATGTAGTTTGAAGTGGTGATATATAATTACACACTGGAGAACAAAAAACTGAAGTGGCATATACATTTTCAGTCTCAGCTCTGAGAGAGTTTATAGGGTCCATAACGTCCTCTGAGACATGTCAGAAATGATGACTGCCAACTCCACCAACTTCTATGCAACAGATGCCATAAAGCATTGTGGTGCAGCTGTGAAGGTTCCTAGTGAACCAACAAGGTGTTTCCTGATCTTGTTACGATGACTGTGTTGTTAGCACAGTTGGGAAATTGAACCTCTCAAGGTTTAAAGAGCAAGAAACGAGCACGTGCTTCATCTGTGCTTGACCTGTTCACTGACTTTACGAATTTCCATATCCTGTCATCAGACAGAACCACAGGACGTAATGCCATGAAGACCAATGCTGCAAGAGATGCATGATGGTCAACAATAAGCCATAGCTACAGCTATTCCATCTAATTTAAATTAGTAGGGCCTGAGATGAATGTGACTGCCAAATTGGGAGAATATAGCAGTTATCTTGCACACAACATCATTGAGAGTAGTTAGGAGACCCATGGACTGGATGATATGTGATATATGTTAATAATAATGAAATATGGATGAGAGGTTGAGTTTTAGTGGATACCTGAGAAGCTAGAACCTTACGCAATCTTGCCATGTATTAGGAACACTATGAAAGCCATCACTTTGGCTAGTTTGTTCTAGAAAATAGTGACAAACTATAAATGAGTGGAAAGGCATGTTTTTCATTTTGACTTAGTAATGTTATGCAATAAACAAAAATAATTGCATCTGATCTAGGTTTTAATATTGGTATTCTAAGGATGGACTAACCACAAAAGTGTAAGTGCTTGCACAATAGACAAACTGCATTTTTGCAGCAAAACTACCCAGTATCGATTATACTTGCCATGTGAACAATGGACTTTACATATGCATGTTGAAAAGAATGCATAAGGAGTTTTCCATGCTGTACGTTATCACCATCTGCTGCTGTGATAGATCCAATATGTGAAACAAATGGTTTGTTCTCTGGAAAATAGGCTGCACTTGCTCAAATAGTGATCTACTCAAGCATGAGTATTGTACCAGTGCTAGTCTTTAACTACAGACATTCAGCATTTCAACATTTAGCTGAGATGCTCACAAAGTAAACTGAGGCAGAGATGGCATAACTACTCACGTAACTAGTGTTGTAGCTACTAATAATGAATTCACAACTTCTGATTGGGCGAAAATAATAATTCAAAAACAGACAGGAACTAAGTAGACTGATCAGAGAGTTTTCTGGTGTGATAGTGGGATCAGATGGTTGATTGGTTTGAATAACAATCGCACATTTTTACATAGATACAGATGATGCATCTTCAATAAGACAACTAACACATAAGTTTTTTGTAGCACCAGGGATATTACCAGCCCTTTAAATGAGTGAATGTTGAAGGAGAGAATAATATATCATTCACAGAGTGTTTGATAATATCCAGTAGTAATTTTAAAAAGAAAATAATGTGAAGCATTTGTGTGGTACTCAGATGAATGAATGCAGTAATCTGTGTGGATACCTTTCCTTTACTGTACATAGATAAATGTTTGGATATGTTGATTTAGTATGGTAGATCTGCCTTTTGGTTATACGAAAGTCAAACTGGACAATGAAAATAGGTCCAAGGTTATTTTCAGCAAGTGGAAAGGACTATTTGGATTCTGCATCATGCCAATTAGTGTGTGTATTGTGCCTGCCACTTTCGAGAGTCTTATGGAGCTTACACTTAGAGGAATGCAATGGGAGGGATATCTCTTCTATGTAGATGACATATTCGTCTTTCTTTGCAATTTTCAAACAGAGAACACGAGAGTGGTATCCTAGTATACCAAGGATCAAGACAGAAATTGAAATTTCGAAAGTGCCCACATATGCATGTGAAAGTCGAATATTTCAGTCACATAGTCGACAGAAATTGCATGTCTACTGACACTGCAAAGATCACAGTGGTCCAGATTGTCCCCTACCTTCTAATAAATGAAAATTCTGCAGATGTTTGTTTTTTACATCTATTATTAATGCTT